TTGTTCCCATTTTCTTGTTGGTCACAGTGCTGAAGTGATTCGACTTCATGAGATTGTTCCAGGAGATTCTAGTTACCACAAACCCTTTCCTCTTCTCCTGCAAAACCAACAAATATTGAAGGTTTTTGTTTTCCGTTTTGCTTCTTTCTTATACATTAATCTTCTTGAGCTGAGCTGAGTGTCTCTCGAAAACAGTCTCTCTACCCCTTCGGAGTAGGGGCAAGATCTATGTATATTCTATCCTCCTTAGACCCCACTTGTGGGATTTTACTGGGTTGTTGTTGTTGTTGTTGTTGTTGTCGTCGTCGTTGTCTTCTTTCTTATACATTAATTATGTGAAAAATTTAATTTTTTGTTTTTGATAGTTGTGCACAAAACTGATTTGAAATCGGTCAAGTTATTGCTTGAAAAGCGATTTTTATTAAAGAAGTTAGGCGTGAAGAGTGGGGATTTTCCATGTCTCCTTCAGTTATCAGTGATATGCTGCCCTAAACTTGTTGCAATCCCCTTGCTTCCACTTCTTAGCGCTCTCAAAATTTTGAATATTTATTATTGTTATGAGCTTCAGTCATTTCCTAAGGAAAAACTTCCATCAAAGCTGGAATCTCTTGCTATAGCAGATTGTCCACTATTAAAGAAACGTTGTCTTAAACTTCAAGGTAAGGGTTGGTCTAAGATTAAACACATACCTTCAATCTTCATTGATGGTGAAGAGATGTCTTCAACTTAAGAAGCCAAATATGGATCCAGATCACTAAAATGGTAAGAAGCAACTACCCTCCTGATTCTGCACTACATTTCTGCACTAGAGGATACTTTCCCATCTCATTGCTTTCTTGACAAGAGAGGTGCTTGTTGAAGTATGAACTTCAATTTTCACTTTCAGTTAATCTTATTTTCATAAGAATTTTTAGCTTATGTTCCAATTACTAATGCGTTGAAATGCTTGTGTAGGATGGCAGATTCTTATATCTTCAGGTTCTCGTGCAGACCAACCTGGGAATTCAGCTGGTTTAGGTATTTCATCATTTCTTTCAAATTTTCTCTTTTGTAGACCTACACTTTCTTAAACTAGTGAGCTATATTTGATGAAATAAAACTATATAGAGAATACTCTCTAGATGTAAATTTGGACTCATGTTTTCATCGAAATGTCAATATACTAACGTCACAATACTAGCTTGGATTTTTACATCATTTTTTGCCTTTTTACATGTCGGTAAAGTCAGAGGCGGATCCATGATTTAAACTTTATGGGTTCAGATTCGCAATTCTGCCATATCTCATCTAATTTAATGAGTTCAATATGTATTATTTGTACAAATTTAATGATGTTTTGGGCAAAAATACAGGGTATGAGCGAAAGCTATGGGTTCGACTGCATACTCCTCTAGGTAAAGTCCTATTTATGTAGTCTCTATCAATGCGCTAGCAGATCTTGAAGTCGTCCTTATTATCCTGAATATTAGTAGCCAGGCGGTTTCACTCTAGAAGAAGAGAAAACACCTATTACGGGAATCATACAGAATAAGAAAACATGTATTAGTATTAATACTGCTCTTGCACCGCTGAATGTTGCACTGTTAAATCTTTTAGATGCAGTTTCAGGAGATAAAAAATCTACGAGTTGTTCACTGAAGTACATACTATAAGTTAGACCAGCAAAAAAGATATGAAAGACATCTTACTTTTAGGAGACTATTTGGCGATTGCATCAAAGCATCTAAAATACACCAAAACATATTCAGGACATCTCTAGCAACTTTGCAATGGAGAAGAAGATGGTGGGCGTATTCAGGTTCTTGCTGACACATGAAACACGTGTTGCACAAAGGAAAACCTCTTTTACAAAGGTTATCTTGTCTCAAGCAGGCCTCCAGTATAGCTGTCCAACTAAAGCACGTTATGGTCTTCCTGATTAGTTTCCATGTCCATTTCTATTCTGTACCTAAAAAAAGCAGTTGTATGCGGCTTTTAATACAGAGATTTGAACTTAGTGGAGTATATGTTGTTTAAGTAGAGTTGATTTGCAGAAAGAATTGAAATTAGTCCTTAGCTAATTTTTGAGTAGTATCATTGGCCATGCATGCTTTAGTCCTTTAGCTGATAGGATTATGATATTGAAATGCAAACATGGCCGGCTATGGTAATACAACAACAACAATAACGACCCAGTATAATCTCACAAGTGGGGTCTGGGGAGGGTAATATGTACGCAGACCTTACCCCTACCCCGAAGGGTAGAGAGGCTGTTTCCAGGAGACCCTCGGCTCAAAAAAGCAACAGGAGCCGATATATTAGTACCATAAAAATGCATAATAAAATAACAGCAATATAATAGATATGAAATACAGAATACGAAATACGAAATAGATGACTGGTATAGTAAAACTAGCAGGTAAAGCCCTGCATCAATAGACGGCCAATGACATTCTTAGTCTAACTCCTAACTGGCTAGTCTCACTCTATTGTGCTGTAGAAATATTCACAAGTTTCCCCTAACCTACAACCTTAATGCTCGACCTCCATAATTCTCTATCAAGGGCCATGTCCTCAGTAATCCTAAGTCGCGCCATGTCCTGTCTGATCACCTCTCCCCAATACTTCTTAGGTCGCCCTCTACCTCTCCGCGTGCCCACTACAGCCAGTCGCTCACACCTCCTCACCGGTGCATCAGTGCTCCTCCTCTGAATGTGCCCGAACCATCTGAGTCTTACTTCCCGCATCTTGTACTCCATGGGGCCCACCATCTGGCCGGCTATGGTAATCTTTCTATATATTTACTTGTCTAATTTTTCTTATGATAACCAATCTGGTTTCTTACTTTCTTTGCAGGAAGTTGGTTGATTTTCTGAGCTGAATGTAGAGGAAGAGTCACAAGATGCATGGAAAGAGGCACTTGAACTGTAGTTTTTAAAGTTTGGCATGCAACTGTAGTTAAGTTGTTAACTTTGATCTAGCATTCTTGGATTGTAAATTTTTTTAGATGAATTAGCAAGTCTGTAATTCTGTTTGTCTTATTTTGCACTGGGGTTGCAGAATCATTGTTACTCCCTGTATTTCTCTTGTTTCACTTTCTAGTATTGCAAAAAGTTGTGTGAATTGCTGGTCTTGTTTCTATTGCTAGGATCTATGTTCTTGCAAAAAGTTGTGTGAATTGCTGGTCTTGTTTCTATTGCTAGGATCTATGTTCTTGCAAAAAGTTGTGTGAGTATATTAAGTTTTATGTCTTATAATAACTCTGGTTATACTATGTTTTAAGTCTTATTTTGAACTGGTTATAAGAAATGAGGAGAGTGGCAAAAAATAATGGGTGGTCAAACTCAAACTCAAAACCCTTATATTTCATCATCTTTATATTATATTTTGTAATATAAGGTCTGAGCCGAGGGTCTTTTGGAAACAGCCTCTCTACCCCCATCGGGGTAGAGGTAAGGTCTGCGTACACACTACCCCCAAACCCCACTTGTGGGGCAATACTGGATCGTTGTTGTTGTTGTTGTTGACCTTAAAGGTTTGTCATGAGGGTAGTGTGGACAAACCTTTAAGGTCAAAAATCGAAAATGTTACCCATGGGACAAGCGAGGGGCAACACTGGTTAAACTTAAGGTTTAACCCGTGTTGATTTCAAAATTATAAGGTTTGCAAGTGTTTAGAATAAGATTCTCATGTCTAAAAAGTAGTATACAAGATATTATCTATTTGTCTCATATATTCTAGCATACCTTAATTTTCTCTTAAAAAACTTTCATTATTTGCAAACAGTGAAAAATGATAGTTATAGATGTTAGAAAAATAGATTGCAGAATCATTGTCCTTAAGGATTTAAGCCAATTTCAGCAATTAACTTAGATTTTCCGCGACAACAAACTTTTGTGAATTGTAGAAAAAAGTAGAAACAATTTGGCAATTGTTATAAGTATTCGTTTTGGCAATTGTTGAAAAATAGCCCCGTGTTAGAATTTTAAAACACGCTCCTAGAATTTTGAAGCATCTGTCAGAGTATTAAAACACAAGAAATTCTAACAAGAATTTTCACTTCTTATCTTATTTGATTAAATACCAGAACAATTACTATGTTTCAGTTTCAAACAAGTCGAGGTCTTAGCTATATGAATCCGCAAAAACCACTTTATTCCATCTAAACTCAATCTCATGCTAATATTTTGCAATATAAAGTGATCAAATGACAAATATAGGTCAATACTTTTAGTTAAAACAAAATTTTATCCAATTTAAAACAAACACATGACTTGGATTATATATATCTTAAAACATCCGATGAGATCACGATAATTGAGTGATTATTATTCCCCTATAAATAGATCTCCGCATTATAATCGCTATATAACTTGTCGAAATTAAAGGTAAACCTTAAATTTCCCGATATATCTGTGTGTAAAATGAATAACAAGTGGTTGTATTAAAAAATAAATATCCATTGTCGCAGGTTGTCTAGGCAATGCAAAACCATTCTTTTCTTTTAATTTGTTCAAAATTAATGGCAATAATTTATTTTTGCTCAACGACCAGTCTTTAAATGGATATTATAAACAACTACAAGAAATTAGAAGCTTATATTCCTTCCCCTCTACCTTCATTTCTGAATCTCTTCCTGTAAATATACGGTTACTTTTATTTCTTTGGAAATTAATTAATTAGCATAATTATTATGACTTTCATGATCTTTTCTTTGTAATTATGTTTGCCTTTTGTTTTTGATGCAGACTTTTAAACATTTGCATTTTCATACTGTTAAAGAATTCATCTAAAGACTTTCTATTGGGTTGGGTTTTCTCTTCAAAAGTAATTAGCACAATGGTTATATATATATGGTTTCATTTTCATTTATTTTTATTATTTTATTTTTTCCTGGACTTAGAGGCGGAGTGGGGATTTAAATTTGATAAATTCAGCATTTATGTTCTCATTACTGAACCCAACACAATCTTTTGTAATTATAGGTTCGTATTAATTATTTTAGCGATTTTTTTAGTAATATATATGTATGCTTCGTGTAAAAAATGTTGTGTTCAATTGAACCCGTTGATTATATATTGCGTCCGTCTCTTAATGGTCTGAGATGAGCTTAAATGGAGCGGATATGAATAGTGTGACTATTCATATAGCCAACCCCAATTTGCTTGAGATTGAGGTATAATTATTGTTAAATGTTAATGGCGGATGCAGTGTAGTCCCAACAAGTTTAATTAAACTCAGTATTTTTTACTTGGACCATAAATGCATATATCAAAAAGTACTAAAATTTTAATAAATGCTACTTATGAACCCATAATTGCAAAAAAGCAGCGGATTAAGTGGTGAGAACATAAATATTGAACCCATCGAATTTAAATCTTAATCGCATCTAGTTATTGTTTTTGTAGTCGAGAGTTTAAGTGTTAATCTTGTATTCTATTATTGTTAGAATTTTTTAGTATTACTTATTGTGGGTCTATCGAAAATAGCCTCTTTACCTTTAAGGTGGGGTTTAGTCGGGGTAAAGTCTGCGCACACACTACCCTCCCCAGACCCGACTGGTGGAATTATGCTGAGTTTGTTGTTGTTGTTGTTATTGTTGTTGTTGTAATTCTCTCTACTTTTGTTTATAATGCAGATTTATAAAGGTTGGAATATATGTACTCTGCAAATAATCCATTTAAATCTTTCTTTTGTAGTTCAAGCAACAAGGAATTCACTTTTCCCCAAACAAAACAACTATAGTGAGGAGATTGTGAATGCAAATAAGTAAACAAAATGGTAGAGGGAGGAATAAACAAAGCAGATAAAACAGAATTCACAGAATGTTGGAGTGCAGTATGGAAAACTCCTTATATAATGAAGCTAGCTTTATCAGCTGGCATTGGTGGATTTCTTTTTGGTTATGATACTGGTGTTATTTCTGGTGCACTTCTTTACATAAGGGAAGATTTTAACGACGTCGATGAGAAAACATGGTTGCAAGAAACTATTGTTAGTATGGCTGTTGCTGGTGCAATCTTTGGTGCTGCTACTGGTGGTTGGCTTAATGATAAGTTTGGACGAAAACTTTCGATTCTTATAGCTGATGTTCTGTTCTTTGCTGGTGCAATTATTATGGCTGTTGCCCCCGCGCCTTGGGTGATAATTCTTGGAAGGATATTCGTCGGTTTGGGAGTTGGAATGGCGTCAATGACTGCTCCTCTTTATATATCAGAAGCTTCTCCTCATAAGATCAGAGGCGCCCTCGTCAGCACGAATGGTTTCCTCATTACAGGAGGACAATTCATTTCATACCTAATCAATCTTGCCTTTACTCATGTAATTTACTACAACTTTTTATTTCACTGTCTTTTCCTTTTGATATGTACTAAATGCATTGGATGCTTGGGCAACTGCATCGATCTCGTTCCAACTTCTCTCGTGTTTGTGAGAACCATAGTAAGTAATGTCTAACTTGTTTCAGGTGAAAGGAACGTGGCGATGGATGCTTGGCATTGCTGGACTTCCGGCAGTTATTCAGTTTTTGCTCATGATTACCCTCCCCGAGTCTCCAAGATGGCTTTACAGAAAGGTACTTGATCGATGATCAATTGTATAAACTCGCATTCAATGAAATAGATGTAGTAACAATGCCTGATTGATACATAGAATCTAAGTTACGTAAATCAATGTAGTTTAACCTGTAATAACGGTCTGTGACCATTTTTGTCAGGTTACTTGTTAATGCATATCATAAAGATTTACATGTACATACCTTATAAATGACATGATTTTGTAATTACAATATGTGTATAGAACTTAAACTCTTACTAAACATTTAGGGAAAGTGGAAGACGCCAAGGAAATATAGGCGAAAATTTATGTACTAATGACGTTTGATTGGTATATATTAGGGAAAGTGGACGAGGCCAAGGAAATCTTGGCGAAAACTTATATACTAATGACGTTTAATTGGTATATATTAGGGAAAAGTGGAAGTACGCCAAGGAAATATTGGTGAAATTTATGTACTAATGATGTTTGATTGGTATACATCAGGGAAAAGTGGACGAGGCGAAGGAAATCTTGGCGAAAATTTACTCAACTGAGGAGGTAGAGGAGGAAATGCAGGCAATGAAGAAATCAATTGAAGAAGAAAAGGCGATTGAAGGTTCCATCGGAAGTAGCACATTTACTCAAATTAAGCAAGCATTTGGAAATACAGCATGTAGAAGAGCACTCTATGCAGGAATCTGTGTTCAAGTGGCTCAACAATTTGTCGGCATCAATACTGTCATGTATTACAGTCCAACTATCATCCAATTTGCTGGATTTGCATCTAATAGAACTGCTGTCGCGCTATCACTTATCACCTCTGGTCTCAATGCTGTTGGCTCCATAGTTAGTGTGGCGTTTGTCGACAAATATGGTAGGAGGAGACTCATGATTATCTCTATGTTGGGTATTATTTCTTGCCTCGTTGTCCTGTCCGTTATCTTCTTCCAAGCATCCGCTCATGCACCAACAATCAGCGGCAATGAATCTGCACATTTTGGTAATGCTACTTGTAAGGCCTATGCCAATTCACCTAATCCGTCGTCCTGGAATTGCATGAAATGCTTGGCTAAGGAAGCTGATTGTGGATTTTGTTCAAATACCAATGATCTGGTAAGTTAGTAAATAACTTACTTCAACTAGTAGTTTTGAATATCTTAGAATTAGGTCCTAAATGCATATGACTTGTAGGATATCTATGTGGCTAGACTAGATTCATTGTTTGTGCAAGTATCTAGGTGGCTGAGTTTATATCGATGCAAGTATATCTCATAGGCGAACCTAAATTTCAGAGATATATTTAGGTCATATACGAAGAATCATGTAACTGAAGGGGAGCCTTGGAACAATAGTAAAGTTGTCTCTGTGTGACCTATAAGTCAAGGATTCGAGGCATAGAAACAACCACTAATGTTTGCATTAGGGTAGGCTGTCTATATCACACCTTGGGGTGCGGCCCTTCCCTGGACCTTATGTGAATGCCAGATGCTTTGTGCACTGGGCTGTCCTTTACTGAAGAATCATGTAACTAGAATCTATAAGCGAGTGTAGAAGTCTCTCTTGTGTCACATATACAACGTGAAAATACCTTCTTGCATGAGGACTCGGACAAGGAGGTGTACATATAGATGTAACACACCGATGTGGAATGGAAGGGAAGTCACATAAAAAGAGAAAAAAATGGCAATTAGATATGTAGGGAAAGATAGAACCTTTGGGAGGTACTTCCGCACTACATTGCTACAACAATTTTAGATCTGCCAGTCGCTCTCTTGCAAGTGCTCGTCTAGCTCCCTTTCTACTAACATAACGTACTTCTCATTGGTTTTGAATATGTTTTAATGTGCAGTATGCTCCTGGAGCATGTATTGCAAAAACAGATGCACTAGAAGGAGCTTGCAAAGCAGAGAAACGCATTTGGTACACGAAAGGTTGTCCAAGCAAGTTCGGATTCTTAGCAGTCATATTTCTTGGATTATACATCATAGTGTATTCTCCAGGTATGGGAACAATACCATGGGTTATCAACTCTGAGATTTACCCTTTAAGATTCCGCGGAATAGGTGGAGGCATTGCTGCAGTTTCCAACTGGACTTCAAATCTAATTGTTAGTTTAACATTCTTGACATTAACTGAACATCTCGGCTCCTCTGGCACGTTCCTCCTATTCGCGGGGTTTTCACTTCTTGGACTTGTCGCGATCTTCTTCCTTGTTCCTGAAACCAAAGGGATGCAATTCGAGGAAGTCGAGAAAGTATTGCAGAAAGGATACTCTCCATTTAGAAAGAACACTGCAACTAAAGATACCTCAGATCATAAAAACTGATACTCATAGAGTAGAGCATTCTTTTACCTTCCTTATTTATATATGTCATTGTGTACATACACACACATATATTAATTTGTAATCAATCTGAGAAATAAATGAATTTCTCTACTCATTGTCATTCCATTCATTTTTTACCTAGTATAGAATAAAAACCATTGATGTTGCAAAAGTGATGACAAGTGTGTCATGATTTGAAAGTCAACCAAGTGCGAAATCCTCTGAAAGAATATTACTTCCTGTTTATTTTTCGATGAATTTTCAGAAACCACTATTGTTTAGTGGTTATTAACTTCCTATAGCTACCATATACATAATTACTTCCTATAGCTACTATTTAGTTGTTACGGTAGTGTATTCCCTGTATTCGCACAGCTCTATTCATGAATACAATAGTATAAAAGCGCCTAAAATAAGGGCAGTCCAGCTGTACCAGTAAAAAAACGCCTAAAATCAGGGTAGTCCAGCTGTACGCGCATGTATTCATATGTATTCGCGATGTTGTATTTATGACTACAGCAGTAAAAGCGCTTAAAATCAAGGCAGTGCAGCTGAATGCGCATGTATTCACATGTATTCGCGCCATGTACTCGTGAATACAGTAACGACAATCACCTTAAAAATAGGTATTTCCAGCTATCTAAGAGAGAGGAAAAACATAAATAGCATATTTCATGTCTTATCTCATGCCTCAATGGTAGTATATACCATAAATACGTATTTTGCTATAAAATATAAAAAGTAGCTATAAAAGATAATATTTTAAAATAATTTTGATTTATAATAAATATGGTGTATACCTTTGCTATAGGAGGTAAAATTTCCTTAAATTTTTAAATACACCTACAAGTTTGAATATGTAAACTAAAAGCATAAAGTTCATTTCTACCTTAATATAATAAATCCACCAATATAATATTTGTCTAAATTCCTTCAATTCCATTAACAATATTTGGAACCGAATATACTTCGCAAAACTCAGATATACATTCTAAGTATGGAAATATTCATTCCATGTCTATTCCATTTAGTATGCTTTTAAAATGTTAAAAGCCACTTCCACTGTGTTTTGGTACCCTGCACACATTCTCCATTTTTATTCTTTACCTTGTGTATGTACATTTTACGTTGAATAATATAGATGGAAACATTAGATAGTGTGATGTTTTGACTAGAGTTGCATCAAAAGGCGATGAGATGAGTCACAACCAGTACATTTAACAGTCAAACACAAGTCAAAAGCTGGAGAACACAGATTCAAGTAATTTCCAAAGGTAAACTATATAGCAATCATCTCCTAAACAAACCCAACCAATTGATTTAGATTTAGCTTAACAAATTGAATCAACGGGCGAGCTCGATTTAAATGGTACTAGTACGAGAATACAAGATGAAGAAAAAATAGTTAGAGAAAGAAGCCAAGAAAAGTAGAGACTTATGGTTGATCTTGAATCTCACAAGGGATAAGGAAAATAGAACAAAACTTTACCACCATCGACGATCGAAGCAAGTATTGTGTGTTAATCAAGAACACAAAAAACTAAGTTGTAATAAGCCTCAAAACTTGGAAAAACCTAGAGAATAGTAGGATCATTGCAAGCGGAAATGCAGAAATTGTAAACAAGTAACTGATTGGAATTATGAATCTAAGCACAGAGTAATTTGCTAAACTCATTCTCATAATCAATCACACTAAGCTAATATTCATCTTCTTTTATGTTGATTTTCTGGCAAGCAGTCACAAGGATACCGAGAGGTTGTGAGTTCGAGTCTCCCCAAGAGCAAGGTGGGAAGTTCTTGGAGGGAAGCATGCCGGGGGTCTATTTGGAAACAGTCTCTCTACCCTAGGGTAGGGATAAGGTCTGCGTACACACTACCCTCCCCAGACCCCACTAAGTGGGATTATACTGGGTTGTTGTTTGTTGTAGTCACAAGGATACCGAGAGGTTGTGAGTTCGAGTCTCCCCAAGAGCAAGGTGGGAAGTTCTTGGAGGGAAGCATGCCGGGGGTCTATTTGGAAACAGTCTCTCTACCCTAGGGTAGGGATAAGGTCTGCGTACACACTACCCTCCCCAGACCCCACTAAGTGGGATTATACTGGGTTGTTGTTTGTTGTAGTCACAAGGATACCTGCAAATTGCAATCGCAAAATTCAAGTGTTTGCTTTACTGAGCTTTGCTTTCATTGTGTAACAGTCGCAGTATCAAGTATAACAAAGACATCAAGATGGTTAAAGTAGCTCCACTAGGATACAAAAGCCAATATTGTACTAGTGTTTTCACATTACAAATGAGCACATCCAGCAATGTGGTAGCTGACCCACAAGTATTGTTGACAATGAAATTTCATTAATAAGAAAACAAAAAATGAAAGAAAGGTGGGTGATTTTCAGAGTTTAATCACTTCTATGACCACAGATATGAAACAGAAGTCTAAACCACCAAACTAAGAGATAATGATAAAAGCTATGGTGTTTAACATCTGTACTCCAAATTAAGGAACGTGGGCTGGAGTGCAACCTCATGGGATGCCCTATGCCTGAAATTGGACCAGAAAGGACAAAATTAGAAATGTGAAACGAAAAGCCGACAAAATGGTGAAGGCAAGGGGTTCGACTGCCCAGGTGTAGGGTGACACAATCTTAACACATACCTTGTTTGAAATATTGTTCGAAAGCCAATCTAGTCCTTCATACAACCCTTCTCCAGAAGTGGCACACGTACTTTGGATATACCTGAGAGAAAGAAGGAGAAAGCATTAGATGATAGTCCGACCTTATGCGCTCCTTGCTAGTTAGGACCAGACTGCACAAATGGTGGTATCAATGTATTTTACCAGTGTCGTTGTCGAAGAGAATGAAGGCCAAGCTTATCGGTGATTTCAGCTGCATTCATTGCATTTGGAAGATCTTGTTTGTTTGCAAAAACAAGCAGCACAGCCTCTCTCAATTCATCCTGCAGAGAAATGAAATGCAGATTCAGGACCCCCATGCCATATCCTAAGCTGATTAGTCATATTTCCAATTTAAGATCTACCCTAAAACGTTCCTCAAACTTCACTTCCTAAAGGTCAATAGTACCTCATTTAACATCCTATGAAGCTCATCCCTTGCCTCAACTACACGGTCTCGGTCATTGCTATCAACCACAAAGATGAGGCCTTGTGTGTTCTGGAAATAATGCCTCCATAGTGGTCGAATCTGCAAGCAGATCATAAAGAAGTAAACAAATCAGTATTACTTTTCAACTCTTTCAAGAATCAACTTGTTACATAAACATTAACTCCGTGTTTCTTGAACAGAAAGAATATGGAGAGTTACAAGGTTCGAAATGAAGTTATGGCTAAAAAGCTATCATGACACTAGAATTTCCTGTACCTTGTCTTGACCTCCAACATCCCACACAGTAAAGCTGATGTTCTTGTATTCAACAGTCTCCACGTTGAAACCTAGCAATAGAAAAAGTAGATTGCTGAAAAGAACAATTGCATAGCAAAAACTGGAAAACTCAGCATGATCAAAGAAGGATCTTCAACTATACACATATGACAATTGACAAGCATTTGATGAATATACATAGTCAAAGCTGCAGCCATCAAAAGATATTTAATCCCTCAGAGATACGATCCTGAATCTCAAAAGAATACATAATTTTCCCATGCTGATGCAGATGATCTTAAAGAATCACAAAAGATCCTGAAAAACACATGCATCAGCAAATGATCTCAAAGGATTTTGCAAGATTTCGAGGCATTTTACCCTAGCAATCTTTTTGGCTATACAGATCAACATAATTTACTTTCAAGTAGTTTATCCCAGAATAAAGTCAAAAATTATGTTCCATTGTAAGGTGCAACTCATGAGATGAAAAGAAATCAGAATTCATAGAAAGCGTACCAATAGTAGGGATAGTGGTAACAATTTCCCCCAACTTGAGCTTGTAGAGAATTGTGGTTTTACCAGCAGCATCAAGACCAACCATAAGAATACGCATTTCTTTCTTAGCAAAAAGGCGACTGAAAAGTTTGCCGAAAGACAGCCCCATCTCTGTATAACTGAAGAATATAAGAAATTCTTAAGAAATCAGAAGGATCAATCCAGAAAATCCACTAAGTCTGCTCATCATGAATATGCGAATGCAACTAATATCCAAAGAGAATAAATAGAGAAGGAAAATTCCTCAGTTGCATGTAACTTTTGAAGTAAGCCTCATTTTGTATTTTGTTGTACATTTATGCAGAAAACCGGTCTTTAATTAGGCTGTTTCATGTTTTCATACTGTAGTTGTGCCACTTCTCTATCGAGTCAAATACTGACGTATGAAGAGTTGCAATCGCAAAGTCATGTATAAGAAATACCCAAGGTAGGACACATGAATAGTTCATTTTTTGTGGAAAACAACCACATTGCAACTCTTCATACAAAATTGGAAGACCTGGTCGTGTTCTTGTTATCCTTATCAATCCCCAGACAAGCTCATTAGAAGCACTATTTAGGGACTGATATTCCTAGAAAGTAGAAACCAATATAAATGTCTTATTTAGACAAAACTCTGTACGGCATTGACAGTGTAAATATCATTTTACAACTCTCTATTTCTAGAACTGTTCGAAATAGCATTTCCTTAATATGTGAAGACGTGGAGGCAGAACCAATCATGGGCGCAGAATATCACGACACTCACTAATCCTATATGATGATGATTGAGACTAATTACAAAAATATATTTCAAATTATTTTCACACACATACACACAGATATGTGTGTGTGTGCATATTTTCTTTTGGGAACAAGTGACTGTGTAGGAACCACATGCAAGGAAGAGAGTTCAATTGAATCTCGTCTGAAATTTATACTCGGAAATAGGGAAAAATCAATTTTCTATATACATATATGAAATATTGAATCTCCTTAACATAATAGAAACACAGGTTCAAATCTTAGGTGTAGCATTTATGATTTTTTCTGAATCCCCTTATCAAAATTTCTAGCTCTGCCACTGGTTGCATCCATTCCCACTATCCAAGATACTTCCACAATTGGTGAAAAGTATATTGAACAATGATCATATCAGGATATAAATCAAACATAAGCGGAAAACATATTGTGACCTTATTCCTTAGCAATTCCAACCAGCCTCCAACTAATATCGTTATAGTTGCTGATTTGTTACTCATATTCTAGAAATAGCACCGACTAGCCACTTTTGGATCCAAAATTTGAGAAGTAGCCACTGTTTTGGAGTTTCAATTATACAAGTGAAACTCAAAACTCCATTACAATGGTTATTTGTCAATTGCAGGAGCTGAAAAGTTGCTATTTGTGAATTTTAACCATTTGTATTTGCTAATCAAATCAGAAACAAGCAAATCAATTGGCCTATTAACAAATTTTCTATAAGCAACGGAATAACATCTAGAATTCAGCAAATTAAGAACAAATATAAGGTAGATCTACACGCGCATGTAAGTAAAACGTCTACGACGAAGAGACGAAAATGACTTACCGGAGATCGGCGATCGGAGAATTGAGTGCGTAGATCTAGAAATGGAGCTGTCCTTAGCCGCGTTTCCCTCTGCTCTGGCACCGAAAGAGAGATAAATTGAGCTGAGAGGGACTCCTTTTATATATGTTTGTGGCAACTGAGAACCTAAAGAGATCTTATTTTGGCGTTTGCTTATTGGCTCACGTTGTTATTAATTCCGTTAAAATTGTAGCGTTGTTGACAAGCACTTTGGGAAATGTAGAAGCTTTGGGATTGATGCTGATTGCTGGCTTGTCAGTGACCAATCACAATATTTGTTTGGCTTAATAGACCCCGACATACTTCCCTCCGAGAACTTCCCACCTTGCTCTTGAGGACACTCGAACTCACAACCTCTCGGTTGGAAGTGAGGTTGCTTACCATCAGAGCAACCCCTTTTGTCTTATAAGCCGGTTAAACTGGCTTATAAACACTTTTTAGCTTATCTACGCGTTTGGTAAAATTAAAAGTACTTATAAGTTAAGCTTTTATAAGCCAAAAGCCGTAAGTTGGTGTCCCCTAACTTATCAAATTTCAGCTTATAAACACTTTTGGTTTGACCAAAATATTTACTATTCTATCCTTAAAATACTTCTTTTTAAAACAAAACTTTTCGTATACTCAATTCTTCAGCTGTTTATTATTAATTTCAGCACTTTTATCCAAATACGTAACTGCTTGTTTTTTAAATCAGTTTCAGCACTTAAAAATATTTTTTAGCACGTAATGCTTATCAATTACTCTAAATTAGCTAAGTCAAATGGGCTCTAAATCTTTTTTAATTCTTTTGGCGCATCTTCGGCATAATGAGGACGTAACCCATAGTAGAGTGTAGAAACCTTTTGCTTCGATTATTTTATTTTCTTCTTGTTATTGTTACTATTTTTTTTCATGGCTTCTCCACTACTCCATTCAATTCGCTTTAATTGATTTTTCTTTTTTATTATTTTTCATAAATATTAGGGGATCCATCTTTTAGTATTAATTAACAATAATATTGACCATATTAACCTTAATTTATTCATTGGAACTATCACAAATACTTTTAGGTTCTTTACTCCAAGGATAACTTTGGAAAGAAAAGTTAATTCCTTCTTGATATTTGAAAAAATCAAATATTGTAGACTGCAAAAAAATAAGGCAAAAAAAATAAATTAAAGTGACCGAAGAGAGTATTGTATTTCTTTTTCGAAACTGTTGCGATTATATTTTCCCTGAGTCGGGAGGCTATAGGAAATAACCTCTTTATCTTCGTAAGATAGGATTATGGTCTATGTACATAGTATCCCGTATTCCGCTTGTAAAATTACACTAGGTATGTTGTTTTGCTACGCTCCCTCCGTTCCTAATATTATACGTGATTATAAGATTTTTGAAATTTTTAACGCTAAATACATCATAAAATATCGCGATTATAGAAGTGAGGTATACTTACATTATCGATCAGTAAGAAAAATAAATAATTTTGGAATATTTGTGATGAATATATGAATTAGAGATAACATTATAGAACTAGCAAAGCGATATATGCTTACGCTATCCATCCATTAATGAAACGCGTGAGTATGAATTAGAATCCTTAGAAGTGTACTTGTTTTTGTCTTCACTTTTGTAGATTAAAAATATTTTTGAAAGAAAGTTTATTCAAAATAAAAAATATTACTGAAAGCAAAAGTATTCTAAATAAAAAAGAAAAAACTACGCGACAAATCAATATATATATATATATATATCACTAGTAACTATATTTTCAATAAATTCACCATTTGTAGTTATATTTGAATTTTTTAGCAAATCGATGAAATAAAATATTAATTGTTTTGAATTGAAACAAGAGGGTAACAAGCTCTCGTGGCTCAGTTGGCTTGAATGCATGTTTAATTAGCGGAGGTCTTGAGTTCATCTCTCAACAAGAGAGCATTTTATTTTTTTATATTTCTGTTTTTCCTTGGTTGTATTCGTTGTGTGGATGAATACAGTCGATACAAGTTGTATCCTTTGTATACACCCTGTATATAGTCGATACATATTATATTCTTTGTATATACTCTTGTATTTCGTCTTGATTACAATTGTTACATGAATGAAGACTACAATTGCATAAACGAATACAGTTGATACATGTTGTATTCGTTGCGCGAACGAATACAGTTGACAACATGCTGTATTCGTTGCGCATCTGAATACATGTGATACAAGTCAAACAATTAAACAATAGCTACGAATGATAATTTGGCAAACTATAGTTACTAGGCTCGAAACTATAGTGCTCTATAAAAATTCTTCAATTAAAAAAAAATATGGGTTTTACCCATAACTCATTAAAGTAGAATCTGAATAAAAATTTGTTGAAACATGTTCCCCATCTTGAGCATGTGCCTTTAGCCCATTAGGTGATTCGTGATTCTAGCTTATTTATTTATTTTCTTTATTTATTCCTTTTTAAATTCATTAGGTACTAGATGGTTCTACAGAAAGAAAACGACGTCGTTTACTTCCATTTTCTTTTCCTCCGCAACTTATAAAAACTAAATCGCTGTGTGGAAGGCNACCCCCTCTGCACCACCCACCCCATCTACACCACCCACCCGTCTCACCCACCCACCCCTCTTTATCTCTCAAATTCGCGTATTCCAATTTTTCATTCTCCAAAAGTCCGCCAATAATTTTTTCAATCTAGGGTTAGGGTTTTTTTCTCCTAAACCATGTATTATTCGACAACTTTAGATTAGAGATTATATAATGGTAAAGACATTCCCTTTTTTTCTCCAAAAGTTCCTCAGTTTAATCCTGCTTGAGTTCTGCAAGTCAACCATGTGTTGAATCTGCTCTGCTATCGGTATTTTTTCTTCTCAATTCAGCAAATTTTTATTTAGCTTAGTATTTTCAGGACTTTATTGTGCTTTAGTATTTGGTGCTTATGCTGTTTTATATAAAGTTTAGACTTTTTCGGTATTGTTTCTTTTCAATTAATCAAATTTCTATTACTTTCGTGGCTTTAGGACTTTATCGTGCTTCCCTATTTGGTGCCTATGCTGTTTTTTATATAAAATTTAGATTCTTTTAATAGACGGAATGTAGTATCAGTATTGTTTCTTTTCGCTTAAGCAAATTTCTATTAATTTAGTATCTGTAGGACTTTATTGTGATTCAGTATTTAGTGCCTATACTGTGGAGTATATAAAGTTTGGTTTTTAATAGACTGATACTAGTATCAGTGTTGTTTCTTTTCAATTAAGCAAATTTCCATTAAGTTAGTGTTTTTAGGATTTTGTTGTGCTTCAGTATTTAGTGCCTATACTGTGGAGTATATAGAGTTTAGTTTTGTAATAGACGGAATGTAGTATCGGTGTTGTTTCTTTTCAATTAAGCAAATTTCTATTAATTTAGTGTTTTTAGGATTTGGGGTTGAGCAGGACGAAGATGGAATACCTCGAGTGCAAATTTGGGGTTGAGCCGACGGAAGCGGGAGTTGAAGTGAGGCTTGACTCTCAAGTCATTCCCAAGAGGGGTAGTTTCAAGTACCTTGGATCGGTTATTCAGGGGATCGGGGAGATTGACGAGGATGTCACACACCGTATAGGGGTGGGGTGGATGAAGTGGAGGTTAGC